ACATGGGAAACATTTGAAAAATTGTAAGCATGGGTCATTATAGCTCCATCCAAAGAAGCATTCATCTCAATTCTTGGAGTTATAGCTGAACTTTGAAGCAAGTTGTGAGTATACAGGAGAGCAAACTGTAAGACCTTAATGGTAGGTGAGCCAATGGACCTGCTGCTACTCAAAATACAAAAGACATACCTGAAGAAGCTACAGCTAGAGGTTAGGAGACAGTCCAATGCCAAGGACATGCAATTACTCAATTGCTACAGACAATTTGATTTTTGTATCCTGTTTGTTTGTTTGTTTGTCTGTTTGGAGGTAACTGATTGTGGATTCTGCAGATTTTCAACCTGTACCCAAACTACTTTCACTATTCCCCATGTAAGGAGTAGTGATGAATCCTGTTCTTCAACACATCAGTTTTTGTTCCATGAGAGAATTCTAGTCTGAAGAAGGAACAGCTCACTCACCATTCTCCAGGAGAAGTCTGTCTGAGGTTATCTGCAGTCAAGCCCAAGAAGCCTGTGACACACAGCTCCACTGTCTGTTGTCAGCGCATATGTCAATGAGAAATCACTAGTTATGAATGCACCTAGGCTGCGTTCTGCTTCTCTGCACCCTCATCGGATGCTGGGTTGTTTTGGTCTTCTACAGAGTTATAAATAAAAAAAGCAAGCTCTAAAGATTTTCTGAAGCAACGCTGAGGCGGGAGGAGCAATCCTGCTTAATTGGCCTGGCTTACACAATGTTCCTGGCATATGGTCTTGCTCTCCCTGGCCGGAGTGGCTTCCTATAAAAAGAAACACCAAAATTGGCCCCTGGAATTATTTTAGAGCTATAAGATATGAGACAGGGGATACTGAAGATGCTTTTGCCCTAAATTTTCTCCTTAAAGATAAGGAATGCCAGTGTTTGGAGATCTGTTTCACGGAATCTCTCAAGTGATATTCATTCTTTTACTTCAGAAAAAAGCACTGTTAGACACTAACCCCTAGAAAACAGAATTTGCTGCATTGCTAAGCTGTACACAGGAGTCCCTGTTGTTTGACTTGTACACACAGACTATGTAAAAAAGTAACATATATGTTCTGCCCCCACAATGATTTAATGCCTCTTGGAACAGTCCAGAGGAATCCCAAGGTTCCACATTGGGTCCTTGGCCATGCCCTCTACTTGTCTTCTATCATCCTAGCCATCAACTTTCTCCACTGTGCTCCTTGCTGCCCAAACCCTGGAAGATGAGAACTGGGTTGAGAAACTCATCCACTAATGGGTATTTTTAAAATGCCCACTCAACAACGTTCTTGAGTGTGAAAAGACAGGCACTACACTATTTTAAATGCTTCATCTTATTAAATCATAACAACTCCATATGTTATATTTTTCCCATTTGAAGGGATAAGGAAAAGAGGTTTGGGGTGGTTATTCAACACCATCTGTTAATAAAGATATGTTGGGCTTGGACCCAGGTCATTTGAATGACAAGCCTACCTTCTTTATCTGAATGAAACAGTGGCTTCCTGGATGTCAGTGGCACAAATCACAACAAGCAGAACCACTTCCCCAAGGGCACACTATTGAGATGGACTTTCCACTAGATTTTTCTCAGACTCTAAGAGACCAATAAAAAGTGTGCATGTTTCAGATGTGGAGAAGCTTCAATGTAGGGAAGGATTGTGAGCTAGTTCTCTCCTCAGATTGCCATGAAAACTTCTCCACTTGCTACTTGAATTCTGATAATTTTGAATTTTCTTTTAAATCTTATTTTCTGTTTCCAAGTCTTTGCCTGAGTGTATATATGATTATCACATGTGTGCCTGCTGCAGGCAGAGGTCAAGGTATCAGACCCCTTAAACTAGAGTTACAGATGGCTGTGATTCCCCGCATGGTGCTGGGAATCAAACCTGAGGCCTCTACAAGAACAAGTGCTCATAACTACTGAGACATCTCTCTGGGATGGATCCAAAAGTTTACAATTTTCACAGAAAAAAATGCAGAGCATGTTAATTTTCGTTAATTCATTGAATTAAGAGTTCGCCAGGAGAAGGCCTCTAGAAGTGTTTGTGAAGATTGATGGGGAGAGGATCATCTCTGAGTGTAGGTCCAATTGTCTCAAAAGCTGGGGTCTCAAATAAGATAAAGGAGGAAGGAAAAGCTTAAGGGCATTTTCTCTCTCTCTCTCTCTCTCTCTCTCTCTCTCTCTCTCTCTCTCTCTCTCTGTGTGTGTGTGTGTGTGTATCTATCTATCTATCTATCTATCTATCTATCTATCTATCTTATTCTGCTTTCTGGCAGCCATAAGGTAAGCTGCTGTAGCATGTCCACCCCACCATAATGAACAGACACCTCTGAAACCAGGAGCCAAAAATCTGTCCTCCCTTCTAAATGGTTATGATTTCTGGTTCACACCCCAAAGCTTTCTTTCAGTTATAACACATCCTTCTTCACCACCATGATTGCTTGTCTTCCTCCTTTGAGCTCCTGATCAGCCCACAGTCCCACCCCCAGGGTCCAGCTCCCACAGAAACACTCCTTGTTACAGTAAGTAACTGGAAATGGAGGACAATAAACTTGTCTTAAACCACTTCAGAAAAAATCCATCACCCTTTCAACGTCCCTCTCCTCCCTCCTGCCTCCACTCTGAGCTCACTCTCTGACTGTTCACTTCCTCATCCACAACAGAAGACATGCTGGAGAACCCCAGGGCAAATCCTAGAGCATACCAGACAAGGTATTTCAAAAGGAAGACTGTTACACCAAGGTCTGAAGCTTGCTAACATCCCTCAGTCTCTCAGGACAAGAGTGTGAAATCAACTCCCTACCATATAAACTCAGCCACAGGGACACTCACCCAACGGCACTACCTGCAGGGAAATCTTGTTCTTTGTTTCTAACTTTCACCAATGGGATTTCCAAGGCTAGCTAAATATACAGTGTCCATGTAGTCTTAGCTACCCGTCCTGTTTGTGATGTAATTGTTCTCAGATGACTAGACACGGAAGCTAACTCTGACAAGACCATCTTCCCAGAGGGAGGCTATTGGGACACAATAAGACTTCTCTCTCTTCCCAGACTCATTTAGGAAAAATCTCACTTTCTAGACACTTTCCAGTTCATTTTCATTTGCTTCCTTTCTCCAGAATCTTGGAATTATTATTGTCCTTGGTAATTAATGCCTTGGCATTACTCCTTGTGAAGTCACAGTAGGGCATGAGATAACAAGGCCAAGATCTCTCTGTCCATATCATCTGATCAAGGCCTTCCTGCAGTTTGCAGTCTAAGGAGCTCCTCCAGCTACTCTCTGAGTGAAGATGTGTGTGCTTTAGAGAAATATGTAGATGATTTAGAAGTTTGTTCCCCAAGTTCAAATTGTACGACTTGTTTAAATTGGGCAAAGTAATGACATATCTTCCTTCTAACAAAGTTTCTCAAGTTCTAGTTCCTCAAGTCCACTTATGGCTTACTTATATGTTACTTAGGTCTGCAAAGATGGCCTTGCAGAAGGTCAAGTTAGAGGGGATGCAGTTATCTCAGTTATGCAGGCCATTTTGGATTATAGATACGGAATTAATCTAAGCATGTGAGTACCCCAAATTAGAGAAATTTTCCTGCTGAGATCATAGAGGTGAGTAATGGGAACACTGTCCTTTAGAGAATAAAAAGGCAAAAGAGAGTATTTTCCTCCAGAGCTTCTAAGTCCTGTGCGTACCTTCATTCATCCCAGAGTGAGACTTCTCCCCTCTGGATTGTAACAGAATGCATCAGTGCTGTTTTAAACAAAGATCTTTTTGGTAGTTAACTGTAACAGGGAAATGGAACCAACTCAGCCCTAGAAACAAGAAGAGACAACCAGGGACTCTACTTCTGTGTCAGACGAGTCGTAATCATACAGCATCTACCTCTAAACTGGCAGGTACCTCTCAACGGCCTTCTGCCACGACTGTTTGTTTGATACATGATCGCATGCAACCCAACCTAACTTTGATTTCATTGTGTAACCAAGCATGACCTCAAACCCTTCCTCCTTTAGCTTCTACTTCCCAAGGACAAGAATTACAATTGCATACCACCGGGCCAGGTGCCACTGTTACAAGTGTCAAGAAAATGTCACTTAGTCTCCAAATGGGCCATGCTGTTGCTGCTGACATTGGGAGTCAAAACAAGGAGTTTTAAACTAAACTGGGTCCCCTTGCAGTATGAATCTCAACCTCTCCAAATTTGGTCAAGAACTGATAAAGCAGGTATCAAGATAACTGATGGCTTTTCTCCTATTTGTAGACTTTCATATCTTCTCCCAAATAGTGACAGAATGAACTGCCTCCAACACCCTAGGAATATAATCTTGGAAAATTGGTTTCATATTCTCTCTTATTACTTGGAATATCTAGTGTTAAAAAATTGAATTAATGAAACTTTAGTGAGCAACTATTATGTTACAGAAACTGGATAGTAGCTCTGGAAGTGGATTCCTTAACTAAAGACCACTAACATCATACCTTAACTGAAGAGACTGAGGTCCAGAGACTTTCAACTATTTCTCTAAATTCTCAGAGGTGGGTGGAGGCAAAACTCAGAGCCTACCTGGCACTCTGTCTTCTCACACATTGTTTCTTATGTTTCTAAGTGTGGGAAGTACATAAAGATATCAAGAAGACTCAAATAAAAAGGTTGAGAAATGGGGGTGTCCAGTTCATGACCTCACTCTACTTTTGGGCTTCCACCACTGCCAGCTTCCCTGTCTGAGAGGAATGAATTGAGAAGTAGCAAACCTCTTCCTCTTTTAAAATCAGAGCTGCTGTAAGTGAGTGATTTCACACATTTGCCACGCAGCCCTTTGACCATCTTGGGAATATGTAGGTGGTGCAATGTCCACTGGTCACAACCCAGCATCCTGTTACTTTGGCCACTTTTCAGCTCCCTAAAAACCTTTTCTTAAAAGAATTGTTAATATCCTGGTCACATGAAGAACTGTACCTCTGATGTATTAAGGTTATTATTAGCTCGCCAATGACCTCTCTCCTCCAACTCTCAGCTCCACTTTCAACCTACACCCTGGAAGAACTACTTCTGTTTTCTGCTGCCCTGGCTGTTGGTGAGTAAGCCTTAACCTCCTTCCCTCTCTTTCCCTCCTCATTGTCTGCATCTTCCAGTCATTTCAAGAGTGTGACTTTCCCTGATTTTCTGTACAGTTGGCACAATGCTATGCTCTTCTTTGTGACTCTTGTCCAAATGCTCCGGTCCCCTTTCAGTGAGGGAAGAACTGTCAGTGAATGGTTAGCATGCAGTAGGAGTGTTCTCTGTTAGCGATAATGAAGAAAAAATAAATGTCACGAAATAAGTTCATCGTTGAAATTATGGCAGTTCTTCCTCCCTTCCCCATGCTCCCATGAACAACATGCAGACTCAAAATATATTTACAAACACCTTGGCTATATAGGTAGGTTCTTCTATGACTTGATCATAACCCATTTATTTTAATCTACATTCTTCAACCTGGATGGTTACCTGTGCTCAGGTACCATGCATCTGGCTCTGTCACATCTTACTCATGCAAATCTCCAGTGCCTGGCTCTGTCCCAGAATTCTTTCTGCCTCCCAGATGTCCCACCTTCTATTCTATCCTTTCCTATAAGCCATATGTTTTTTTTTTTAATTGGCAGGTGAGGCATCCATACAATACACGAGATACCCTCTCTACATTGTGTGCCAGTTCCATTGAACTCAAGTTTTTCTTTGGGGGTAGCAATATTGCTATTTTAGCTGACTTTAGTTATTTGTATAATGGCAAGCACCTCGAGGATTTTACATATGCAGTAGATACTACATAGACATAATGTAATCAATTACAAGGCATAAGCTGTAGCAACAAATGGAATAAGTCAGAGAAATTAGGAGAAAATGGTTTCTCCGTGGTTTGAGAGTTTAGGGGAGCACTTTTTGGACCATGCTCACAAGATAGGAAAATCATAGAGACTTTGTACCTGTAGATGGGTCAAAATATAAGAGCAATGGTGTGTGAAAAAAGTGGGTCACCTCCTGCAGAGGCTGCACCATTGCTAGGAATAAAAGAGAAAGCAATCCATCTGGGACCTGGCCTTTGGGGGTTTTGATTTAAGGTTCTAGTTGAAAAGTAAGAAAAATTGAATCTTATTCCTGTGCTAGACACTCACTCCAGGGCTCACCAGCCACAGGCAACAGTCAGCAGGAGGGCTGTAAGCAAGAAGAAACAAAGCTTCTTCAGAAGTATTGCACAAAACCGGGAGGTGGCCAAACACAGAATGAAGTCCAGAGTTCAAGATACCATAAAACAAAAACAAATGAACAAACAGAACAAAACAACAGAAACCTTGATATTCACATAACAACACCAGGGAAACTAACTGTCTGTCATTTGCCTTAACAATGGCTTGTTAAATATGGAATAATAAAAAAAAAAAGGAGAGATGAAAAATGACTGCAGGTTCTGCAGGTGCCAGACAGGGTACAATCAGATTTCACACACTCTGAGCTCAGATACGAAATGTCTAGGAGCAAATTCTTCCCCCAAGGGAAGCTGAGAGACTCCAGTCTTGTTGGGCTGAGAGCAAGACAAACTCTCAACCCTGGTTTTAAGGATAACTAATAAGAAATCTGCTCACAGCCTGTCCCCAACCTTCTCTATCAGAACGCCAACAACTCCCTCCTCCCTCAATAGCTTCTGGGGAACTCCTGACCTCCCTCCTCTCTTCTTTTCTCCTAACTGATTTCTTCTACTTCTTCTGGTGATTTAAAAATTCAATTGAGATGTTTTAGATAGCATGATTTTTGCCAACTTGACAAGCCCAGATTTACCTCAAGAGAGATTAACTTCCATTGAGAAAATGGCTCCACAAGACTGGACCACAGACAGGCTTGTGGGGTAGTGCCTTAACTAAGGATTGGTATGGGAGGGTCCAGAACACTGGGGCTGTGCACCCCTGCGAAGGGGATCCTGGGGTGTATAAGAATGCAAGATGAACATGCCACGTGGAACAAGCTAGTAAACAGCACTTCTTCATAACCTCTGCTTCAGTTTCTGTCTCCCTGAGTTCCTATCCTGACTCCCTTCAGTAATAGACTTTAATATGGAAGTGTAAGATGAAATGAACCATTTAGTTTCCAAGCTGCATTTCATCATGTTATTTTTATCACAGCAATAGCACCCCTGTAAGTCAGGTGCTTACAGTTTGCCCCAAATCTTGGCATTTCCTTCACATAGCAGAAAGGTATGATTTTTCTGTCATTTCCAAGGTTACTAAACACATTAGAATTTCCCCAGATTGGAAATCAAAAGCAAAGTGCTATGTTTTTCTGTAGGTAAACAACAGGCAAAAATACACATAGTGTTCTCTTCAAAGTCAATGGTAAACTTAAGCTTCTGGCTGACCAATAATTAAGAACAATAGGAATTGCAGGTAAGACACTTCAGACATCAACCACCAACCCTCTATTCAGAGATACTAAAGGATGCATCCAAAAAGGATAAATTCCAGGCTGGGGAGTGGGAGGAAGAAAAGGCAACCACAGTGAGCTGACTGATATTCTGCACTTACAATAGTTCCACTACACAATGGTACAAACGCAATATACATTTAGTGGAAACCACACTTTGAGTTCAGCAGTTTTACCTTTTCTTAACTTAGTGATGCTAGAGTGTTTTATCTGATGATAGGCAGTATCAAGCCACAGCTCCCTGAGCACAGCCCTCACTTGGCCCTACATGATCAGTCCAAAGTGTGGTGTTACTAAGCCAGCACACATGGTAAGCCAACCATGGTCAGTACATTTGGGACTCATGATACAACTGAAGGCTGGTCTTTCTCCTTCAAGTCAAGAAGCATCTGCACTCATTTTCTTTTAGATCAACTTGGCTGGGTGATGGCAGCCAGACAGAGGTGTCCTAGAAGTTCTTGTGTGTTGTATCAACCTTGAACTGATGACTTTTTAGTGACGTATATGATCCTCGCCAGTGTCTTGGGGCTTCATCTTGTCAGTAGAAGCCTTAAGAAGACAAAGATTGACTTCTCTGAACAAAAGGAAGTTTTGCTCACTGAAAGTTCCCAGTGTGTCAAGAGATGAGCCTGTGACAGACTCAGCCACTCTGGCACATCCACCAAATGACACAGCCTGCGAGGAGATCTTGCTCACTGTGTCTAACCATCATCCCTAGAGCTGCTGACACTGCCTACATCTTTCCCATCTCTTCATAAGCTGCAAAATCCTGTTTCTATTAAAGTCACTCTCATGTGACTGGACAGACACACTACTTCTAGAAACACCATCTTCTAGAGGGATGCTGGCACTGCACGTTCAAGTAGCCCTACCAAGAGAATGTATATAGTTTTTTGTATTGATTACTCTTAGTCTAATCATGGCTTCATTGATCAAACTATGTGTGTATGTGTGTAGACAAACATTCAGACAGATAAATACATAAGTAATATATAATAGATGATATCTGCTACTAGAGATAGACTGATGACACATAGGTAATAGCTGATGGTGGTGATGAAGGTAGATTATTAAATATAAGGACAGATATAGAATAGATGATAGCTTATCATGGTGATGATGACAAAGAGATAAATTAATCAATTTATGATGGAGATAGATAGATAGATAGATAGATAGGACTATAGAAGTGTACAAATGCAGATGTAAGCACATGTTCATGTATTGTGCATGACTCCTTAGGAAATGATAGAGCAGAAAGCACTTTATAATGGACCGTCTGTTTCAGATGCTCTTCTTGTATTCAGTATTCTGTAGAGTGCCTTTAAGGAGCTTGGGAGAAGAAAATAAGCCAACCTTGGAGCCACCATGCCCCCAAAGCCCCACAACAGTTGAGCTTCCTGATCATCAGTTTGACATCAGGATTGTTGTAGTATACATGCTTTTAAAATTCCTTGTATGTTAAAATCAGTAAAGAGTGAGTGGAAGGGGTCAAGAGACAGTTCACTGAATGGCTCCTTTTAAACAATGGCGACATAAAGATTGCCATTGAGGAGGAACTGGAACTAAGGTCACTCCTATGCCTCAAATATGCATTTTCTATCACAGCATAGAGCATGAGGTAAAAAACAAAACTTGGGTTTTGGTTACATTGCTAATATGTAGGCTGCACCTTGATTACAACCTAGGGCTTAACCTGGACAAAAGACTATGGAAGCACTACTGTTCCATCCAATGGCATTTCCCCAAGAAATCTCAGGCAAGTCAAAGACCACAAAGAGAGCTGCAATATATGACGACAGGAAATGTTGCCTAGATTAACTTGCCCGTTCCCAGACTATGATTTCTATAGCACAATGAGGTAACATGAGTCCTGACAACCCCTTTAAACAACTTCCCACTGTAAGTAGCAAGATGGAGACATACCTCGTACACTAGCAAAATTTAGAGCTTTTCAAATATCTGATCTTGGTTATGTATTCAAAGAGATGAAAGCATGCTCGTAAGAAGAATGTGAACTGCATCTTGTCAAGAAAATTCTAGAGCTAAGGAGATGGTGAAGTCTGTAAAGCATCAGGACCTGAGTTTGATCTCCAGCACCCTGTACAAAACCAGTGTGGCAGTCCTTTGTTATAGTCCTAATGTTCTGGGTAGAGGCAGAGGATCCCTGAAACTCATTGACGAGAAAGTCTAGCGTCATCAGTGAGCTCCAAGTCAAAGAGAAAATAACATCTCAGAAAACAAAACAACAGCCCAAAACCCAAGGCAGATGGCATGTAAGAAATGACACTGGAGGTTGACTTTTGGCCTCCACATGTTCATGCACAAGCAAACACACAGGAGCGTGCACTTATGTGCGCACACACACACATACAGACATTCTATATTTTTTGCTATATGTTTGCTATAGTGCTGTTGTATTAGTGTGCTTTTTATTGCTATGATAAAATGCTTATCAAAAGCAACAGAGAGGAAAAGGTTTCTTTGACTTACACTGCTGTGACAAAATACCTAATAAAAAGCAAGAAAGCAAATGAGGATTCACTTTGACTAAATCAACCAAAGAAGGGAAGGCAAGAGTTGCTGATGTTTGTGACCTTTGGAGCATGTTCTCATCTGGGTGGACCAGAATACAGACTGATGACAGAGAACAAAAGATGGACTATAGATCTTAAGGCTCAACCCTGAGGGACCCACTTCTTCCAACTAGGATCCACCTCCTACAGATTTCATAACCCACCCCCACCCCAAACAGCACTACAATCGGGAAACCAATTGTACAAACACATGAACCTGAGTGGGGGCCCTGTAAATTCAAGCTGTGAGCCTATTCCATTTAGTTACCAGGAGTTGCTGAAGGTATGTACGCTCATGCTCACTGCTCTCTCTCTCTCTCTCTCTCTCTCTCTCTCTCTCTCTCTCTCTGTGTGTGTGTGTGTGTGTGTGTTTGTGTGGTGTGTGTGTGTGGTGTGTGTGTGTGTGTGTGTGGTGTGTGTGTGGTGTGTGTGTGTTTGTGTGTTTGTGTGGTGTGTGTGTGTGTGTGGTGTGTGTGTGGTGTGTGTGTATGTGTGTTTGTGTGGTGTGTGTGTGTGTGTGTTTGTGTGTGGTGTGTGTGTGGTGTGTGTGTATATGTGTGTTTGTGTGGTGTGTGTGTTTGTGTGTAGGTTTCGACAATGGAAAGATAATAGTCCCTGGACCAGCCAGATGTACCAGCAGGTTTAGGGACTTGCTACTAAACCTGAGTACCTGAGTTTGATCCTTGAAACTCACAGGTAGAAGGAGGAAACTCACTTTACAAACTGGGTACTGATCAGCATGGATACATCATGTATATACAAGTATACCATGTCTCTCTCTCTCTCACACACACACACACACACACACACACACACACACACAAACTTGTCCTCTGACCTCCACCTGTTTGCCATGGTACATATACATTCATGAAAATAAAACCCCAAGTAAATAAATAAATGACAATTTTAAAAAGAACCCCCCAAAGCCTATACTTATGACCTCCAGACCCCACTTCAGCTCTAGACTGCGTGGAATGAACAGCCGGTGTTTGCTTCTCCATCTCAACGGTGACATGGCCACCAATGGAATTGAACAGCTGTGACATTGCTGCCACCAGAATTTAAAAGAGAAAAACGACTGTAGCACAGGGAAGATTGCTTGAAAGGGGTCACAGAGAAACCTGCACGAATTTTAAAAAGCACTGTGTTCAGTGCCTTGAGAAATAAGCAAAAGAATCGCCTATTATTCCTTCATGCACTAGTTGAGGCACTGATCTGCAGGAGGAAGCACAGCTATGAGGGCTCAGATCAGTTGTTGCACATAAAAGAATTCAGTGTTCCCATTTACTAAACACGGGGAGTCTTTGTTCTCCATATGCTGTATTTGTGCTCTGTGTTCTCGCTTCTCATCGAAATCACCCAGAAGGCCCCAGATCTTGGAGAACAGGAATGATTCTGCATCTAACATCTTGGCTTCCAATTTGGATCCCCAGGAATTGAATTCCTGAGGGGAAATTTCATCCAAACGAAGCCCCCACAGGCAAAGCTTGGGAAGAGCCAGCTTCAGCTAGCTTTCCGAGCTCAGGCGGCAATGCCCAGAAATGCAAGCATCAAGGGATGCCAATGAGCCAAATGTGTTTCACAGATACATCCACACTGTGAAAACGCCAGGGAGTGTCTGCAGGTGTCTGCGACAGCCCAGGCTGCTCCATCGCAGACCCTAGGAAGCCCCATTGCTTGAGATCTAAAACTGGCCAGAGAGGAGACTGCAGTCTACTCAGTACCCCCAGGCTGTTCACAGAGGGATTCCCACAGCGTGCCCTCATTCTGAAGGTCTCTTCCTTTTGTGGAGATCGCAGGATCTGCAGTCAGGGAGCCTCCTGGGATGAACAGAAGGACCGGGTCTGTGCATGTTCACACATTTCATTCAGTCACACTTCAAAAAGCTTTAGCTTATGTTAAATTTTTAGCTTTAGTTCTCCAATCCAGTTTTGAAGCTGGCAACAGTGCATCCGAGTTCAGGTATAATATAGCTCCCCTTCTTGCCTCCCACTTCCAACCCTAGCTGGAAAGGCTGCCACTCACAAGCGTTCCTCGTTCCTCCTTTCAACACAGACCTGGCGCTTTTCATGCTTTCCTCAGAAAATGAAGTATGATGGCTGAGCTAAATATGGAGCCGGGGTTACAGACACATCGTGTTCCTGTTAAATGCTCTGCTTCTTGTGGGATGCTTCACATCCACTTCCTGGTTTCCTGTTCCCTCAAAACTGGGGGCCTATGGGTGGAGTCCAGAGAGGAAGAGCAGACCTCATAGTAGTTTCAGGCCTAGAGTGTCTCTCTTTACCTACTTCCTCCTCTTTGCATAAAACCCATCACTTCTGTGATCTGAGATCAACAAGCTCCTTGAAATCAGCACACCTGTTTGGGGACCAACTGGAGAAATTAATGATATTGTGAAACAGCATTTCCAAGAAAAGCAATTTTTTTTTGCTAACTTTAAAAATACTCTTTACTTTTGAGAAACTCATACATGTATACAATGAAATATGATATTTACATCTTGTTTCCTACAAGTCCTCCTATATTCCCTCCCCCCCACCTCCAAAAAACTGACAAATCAGAAATATTAGCTTAGAGGTGAACACACCCAGATTTGTCTTCTCTCTCTCTGCCACGTGTGATCTGTGACCATGGACAAGCTGTTTACAACTGGGGAGTCTCTGTTTCCCACTCAAGGAACCCATTGAATCTGAGGGTCTTACTAACATGGGGAAACTTGGACTGATGATACAGTATAATGCTATAATACTTGCCTTGTGTGCACAAGGCTTGGAGGGAGAAAGGGACGGAAGGAGGGAGGGAAGGAGAGAGGGAAGGAGGGAAGGAGAGAGGGAGGGAGGGAAGGAGAGAGGGAGGGAGGGAAGGAGAGAGGGAGGGAGGAAAGGAGAGAGGGAGGGAAGAAAGGAGAGAGGGAGGGAGGAAAGGAGAGAGGGAGGGAGGAAAGGAGAGAGGGAGGGAATAAAGGAGAGAGGGAGGGAGGAAAGGAGAGAAGGAGGGAAGAAAGGAGAGAGGGAGGGAGGGAGGGAAGGAGAGAGGGAGGGAGGGAAGGAGAGAGGGAGGGAGGGAAGGAAAGAGGGAGGCAACTGCTTATGTGTGTGTTTACACTTAATTGAAACATGCTTTCTTCTTCAGACATGGTTTTAACATTAGGATGTGTTTTTGTATGACTTGTTTAGGTTATTCTTCCATGTCTGTCACATTAATTTTTTTCCATCTATGGTTGAGTGGGGTGGGTGGTGGTTGGTTAGCTGATTGGTCTATTCTTTCCTTTTGAAAATCTGAAAACACATGTCTATGTAAATATATATATATTTTATATATAAATATATGTAAATATATATATTTTATATATAAATATATATATTATAATATATATTATTCTTTTGAAAATACAAAAATAATATTTTCTATATACCCCTTTGTTTTTTGTTGCTTGTGTTTGCTTTTAATAATGGACAGGCTTCCCATAAGCTATCTGTGAGACATCCAATTATTATTATCAAAATAGTAAATTTGGCATTAAATATAGTGAAATAAGAGCTTTAAGACATCTTGGTAAGCTTTTCTGAACCCATTGCCATGTGATACCTCTTTATAATTTTACCCTGCCAACTATCAAGTGATACTTACTTCATTTTGTTTTGTTAAAATTTTCTTCTCCTGAAATGTTCTATACACAATTTGAAAACAATCAATGTTCTCTAAAGGACACTTTAAAAAAAAACATATCTATACTGCTTACAAATCAAGATTGTTTCCCTCTGTCCTTGACTGAAAGGAAACCTCTGTTCTTTTAAAGAGTGACCTTCCAGAAATTTCAAAGTTAACCACAGCTTGCTTAATTTGAGGAGGCCCAGGAATGCAATTCTTCTAATTTAGATTCAACTTTCTATCTTTAGATATCTATCTAAGGTCTAGAGCAGTTTGAATTCTGCACTTAACCTGAAAAATGGGTTTCCATGGGCAGCAACCTGAAATCCCTAGACACACAATGCAACTTTAGTTGAACAATTAAAAACTGTTCACTAAACAATTGGCATTAAAGACATTCTGGTAGCATTTTATGGAAAGAGTGACTGGTCTTAAAATGTAACAAACTATCTCAGAGTATTTCACTGCAGTGACCTTTCCACTCTTTCTACAATGTAACATTACTAATTGGAAGATCTTAGCTAGGAGCAGGACACTTTCACAATTTAGTAAACCAGAGTTCTTACCTTCACAGGACTTCCCTGGCGGTTAAGGAGACAGACATTCACAGGACTTCCCTGGAGGTTAAGGAGACAGACACAATCCCAGGTACTGTTAAGCTAACATTTCTTGTGTGTCTCACGAAAACATCTTTAAATAAAGGCTACAAAATTTGATGGACAGGGGCATTAATTCAGATCAGTTAACTTCATTCATTCCGAAGGCTGACAAGTGTTTTGACAGTAATGAGTGACGATTGGTTTGGACCTGAGCCAAAAACACCTATTGGAGGTTTTAAGCAGAGATGAAAGCTGTGGTAATAAACAGGATAGGAGGACCTCAAAGCTCAAATACATAAACTCAAAGGATTTAGCAAAAAAAAAAATCATGGATGATACCAATTTTCTACTCTAAAAAATCAAAATAATAAATAAGCAAATGTGAAGATTTCATACATTGGAGATGGAAAGAAAGCAAAGTGAGTGTTCTGACGGATTGGTCTTATTTCCTTCACAGGGTTGTCATGAGAATCAACAAAAGTGAATGTGAAAACTTGTTTGTTTGATACATGATGTTCTTGTTATTTCCAGGAACGAAAAGAGTGATAATAACATGGTTATTTAAAGATTTCTTTTTGTTTTTGTGAAAGCCCAGGAGAGAAACAAATTTTACCACATGAAATAATCCTACTGTGTATCTCTAACTGCTGCGACTGACACCTAGTACATTAGATTGTAGGAGGATTGTTGTTTTGTTTCCAGGATCAAAAATGGAAATAGTTGCAACCCAGACAGCTCATTTGTCCAGAAATGCAGATGGGTTATGGTAATCTGTGCTTTCAGGAGTCTCTGCATCCCTTCCCATGCTCAGTGAGTCATGGAAAGACCAGTGTCACCTAGTCCAATAATACCACCAACTTCAACCTTTGCTCTATTGCATGTGTCTTCAGAGGAATGAAGTCAAGCACAAATTTCCAAAATAATGCAGCAGCATCCCCAACATCTTCAGTAAACCTTTGTGATTGACATGATGGCTAGATACATATGACACAACCTTTGCCATTCAGCCACAGGTCTTACTGACAGAACTCAGTGGCTATGTTCCTTGTAGGCAAGGAAGCTAATAATATTTAATTTTGAAACAAATTCTTATTATCTATCTAGGTCCTGTTAGAAATTTCCTGTTTGGTCTGGTTTAATGTCAGCATCATATCACATTTTGAGTTGATTGTATAATATGAAGTTCATTTTACTGATGAGAAAACTGAAGCAGAAAGTGATTAAACAGTTCAGGCAAATGTAAGCAGCTAATATAAGGCACTTCGAGGACTTTCACCCTTGAAGTGTGCTTTCAGAATTCATGCCTTTGACCATTAGAGTGTAATGTCTCCCAACAAAGCATTTCCAGGGTTAAGACTAGGAATGGCTTTAAACTGATTGAAGCCAAGGTGAAAACGGTAATGGGAAGAAATGGTGGCTTCCTGGATCAGAAGAGAAAGAGAAGAGGGCAAATGAGTTGTGTTGGTGTTGAATTAAGCACTTGCCACTTACTCAGCACTGTGAGCATAAGGCACCTAGTCTAGCCTTTGCTTATCTCAACCTTCCTGTCCCATGAAGACGCAAACAGCAAAGGCAACACAAAGTAGCAAAGAGCTTTATTTTAAAAAAAAA